AAGTAAGTCATCAAGACGAGGAATTTGAAAACGATACCGCACTGTTATCTTATTAATGGCGCGGCTATCGACACACATCCGCCAAGAGCCATCTTTTTTTGGAATAAGGAGAGCAGGAACTGCACAAGGACTTAAACTCTCACGTAAAAAGCCTTTAGAAACCAAGTCCTCCACTTGTTTCCGTAGCTCTTCGTGTTCACTCGGACTCATGCGATAATGACTACGATTAGGAAGAGCCGCATCAGGTACCAAATCAATACGATGTTGAATGTCACGTAGAGGAGGCAGCCCTGGTGGTAGGTCTTCTGGGAAAACATCACTGAACTCATGTACCAAAGATTCAAAACCAGCTGGAATGATACATGGAACGTTAGACGAAACAGTGGTAGAAAGAAGAACAACGACAAGTCCTTCTTCACGCATTGAAGCCTCAAAAGGAGCATGCTGCAAAACTAAAACAGGGTTAGATGGGACTTTCTGTTTCACCGGAAGAGACGGTTGTAACGTGAAGTGACGATTGTTGAAACGAAAACTGTAGGTGTTTAAGAACCCATCATGTTGAACTTTTCTATCATAAATCCAAGGACGTCCCAACAAAAGATGACAAGCGTCCATGGGCACCACATCACAATGGAGTTGATCTTTGTAAGAATCACCAACAGAAAAAGACACCAACGCACGTCGTGTAACAACTACTTCTGTTCCTTGTTGCAACCAAGCTAGCTTGTAAGGAGACGGATGAGGTTCCGCGACGATATTAAGTTTAGTGATCACATCTTCTGCCACGACATTCTCACAACTTCCTGAATCAATAATAAACTTGCATACTTTACCCTCAATAGTACATCGGGAATGGAAAAGATTGTGACGTTGAGGATGTTCATCTTGGACTCGTGGAGTTAAGCAAATACGTCGAACCATTAGCATTGAACCAACATCTGCTGACAAGTCTTCTGTGATCTCTGGTTCTTCATCATAAATAACTTCAACATCATTACCTGATTCATCCAGGAGAAGCCCTCGACGATTCCGTGTAGGACAAGCTGATTGGCGGTGTCCAACTTCACCACATGAAAAACACCTAAGAGTTCCAGTCCTTACTCCACGGTTATTATCGAAAGGTACTATTGCAGTGTCTTGTTTTGTTACAGAAGATTCCATAGCTGGACTTGAAAGTGATGGTAAAGGGGCTGGTCGAGAAGGACGTGAGGCACTCCACGAAGAAAAAATTTCCTTTTGTTTGAGCTTCAACAGTTAATGCTTGTTGATGGGCTTCTGAGATTGTTAGAGGTCGAAATAGATTAAGTGTGTGCTAAATTTGCAAGCGTAACCCACCAACAAAACGAGCCACCAATTGTTCTTCAGAATCATGAGTGTTCACTCGATTGATCATCATGAAGAACTCTTTAGCATACTCTTCCACCGTACGATTGCCTTGTCGTAAATTCTGAAATCTCTGAAACATCAATTGATCATAATTATAGGGAAGAAAATTTTTGTGCATCTCACGCTTTAATTTTTCCCATGTCACAATTTTTGATTTTCCAAGACGAGAACGTGACGTCTTACTTTGACTCCACCAAGCAGCAGCACGATCTCGAAAACGAATTGCAATTAGAGGAACACAACGATTCAATGGTACACGTTTGAATTCAAGAATCTCTTCCACTGTCACAAACCAATCAAGTAATTCTTCGGCCACATTACCTCCACGAAACTCTGGAATTTCAAGCTTGAAACCTCTTTCCCACCGAGCTTCTTTCTCATCATCTTCTGTGTCGGAGTCAGCGGCAACACGACGGTGGTTCCGAGGCTGACGATTTCCAGCGAATGGATTATCTTCAACATCAGATTCAGCTTCGTTGTCTACAACTTCGGCACGATCTTGGTGAACTTCTCGCACCACGGGCTGCAAATTCATGGTCTGAATCGCAGTTGTGAGATTCTGGACTTGAACTTGAAGATCTGCAATTGCTTGACGTGTGATCTCAACCTCCGTAGGCGGCACATCTTTCTTTGGTCTAGCCATCGAAACAAGGAGCGTAGCAAAGCTCTGATACCAACCTGGCGCAGCGTAAGAACCGATATGCAGCTCAATCAAGAGATTTGTGATAATCTCTTGAGACCTACTTCGCTCAATCAAGGGATTCGTATGAATCTCTTGAGACCGACTTCCTGTGTTGATGAAACTAATCAAATCAAGACAAGGGTTTAGAGATAAATCTCGTTTATAACTTCAAAAACTGAATATCCAAAGTGAGAAAGCAAAGCCTTATATAGGCGTGGTCACAACCGACCTAAGAAACACTAAACCCTAAGCTTAGAAGCCACGTAAGTTTATCTTAAAAGGAAGTTTAATAAAAAAAATGGAAAAAGACAAAAGGAAAGACTAAAACACCAATAGAGCCTTGTTGCTTGGACCTGAAGCTATGGAGACGATGCTACATCATAAAGCTCCCGGTCCGGATGGACTGACGGCACGTTTCTACAAACAATGCTGGAATATCGTTGGAAAAGATGTTGTTAGAGAAGTAAAATTTTTTTTGCGACCTCACGTCTGAAAAAAGACATTAATCATACAAATATTTGTATGATACCAAAAATAGACAACCCTACAACTCTCTCCGACTATAGACCCATTGCTTTGTGTAATGTGCTATACAAAATTATCTCCAAATGTTTAGTTCGACGACTTAAAACGCATCTTGATTCAATCGTCTCGGATGCACAAGCTGCTTTTATTCCGGGGAGATTAATAAATGACAATGTAATGATTGCACATGAAGTCATGCACTTGTTGAAGACTAGGAGAAGAGTTTCCCAAACTTACATGGCGGTGAAAACGGATGTAAGCAAAGCCTACGATAGAGTCGAATGGAATTTTCTGGAAACAACAATGCGGCTTTTTGGTTTTTGCGACAAATGGATCAATTGGATCATGGCAACAGTCCGCTCGGTTCGCTACTCTGTCTTAATTAATGGTTCTCCTCACGGCAATATCACACCTTCTAGAGGTATAAGACAAGGCGATCCTTTGTCTCCATACCTATTTATTCTATGTAGTGATATTTTAAGTCACCTAATACGAAGCAAAGCTCAAGACGGGGATCTACGAGGTGTAAGAATCGGAAATGGAGTACCGGCGATAACGCACTTACAATTTGCGGATGACTCTCTATTTTTTTGCCAAGCAAACACAAAGAACTGCCAAGCTCTTAAAGATGTTTTTGATGTTTATGAATACTACTCGGGCCAAAAAATCAATAAGGAAAGATCTATGATAACTTTTGGCTCACGAATTTATGGAAACACTCAACATCGGCTCAAAAATATTTTGTGTATTCATAATCATGGTGGGGGTGGTAAATATCTGGGCTTACCTGAACAATTTGGTCGAAAGAAAAAGGAAATGTTTGAATATATCATTGAACGTGTAAAAAAGAGAACAGCCACTTGGAATACAAAATTCTTATCCCCGGCAGGAAAAGAAATCTTAATAAAATCTGTAGCTCTCGCAATGCCTGTATACGCGATGTCTTGTTTCAAGTTACCACAAGGGATCATTTCAGAAATCGAATCCCTTTTAATGAATTTCTGGTGGGAAAAGAATTCAAAACAAAAAGGTATCCCATGGATTGCCTGGAAACGACTACAATTCTCGAAAAAAGAAGGAGGTCTGGGCTTCCGGGACTTAGCAAAGTTTAATGATGCATTACTTGCAAAACAAGCCTGGCGCATTATCCAACATCCCCATTCTCTATTTGCCAAGATTATGAAAGCCCGTTACTTCCGGGATAGCTCGATCTTGGATGCAAAAAGTCGCAAATATCAATCTTATGGGTGGGCTTCTCTTCTTTCAGGAATAGACTTACTCAGAAAAGGTACTAGATACACGGTTGGAGATGGCAAAACTATCCGTTTGGGTATTGACAACGTGATTGATGATCATCCACCACGACCAATTCGTGTTGTTGAATCTCAAAAGGACAATTTGCTTGAATGCTTCATTTCTAAAACTGGTATGTCACGCTCGTGGGATACCACTAAGATTGCCACATATGTGGATCCACGAGATCAATCTTCTATTCATAATACCCACCTCTCAAAGGAAGAAACAAGCGACAGTATTCTTTGGAACTATAACATCTCCGGCGACTATACCGTACGTTCAGGTTATTGGCTACTCACTCACGATCCTTTGGAACTTCATGATCGTGTCCCTACCCCTCCGGGCTCAACGGACCTGAAAAACAAAGTTTGGAAGCTACCTATTATGCCGAAAATTAAACACTTCTTATGGAGAGCCATCTCGCAAGCCTTAGCTACCATGACCAGATTGACATCCAGAGGTATGAACCTAGCCAAAATTTGTTCCCGTTGTCGACGAGAAGAAGAAAGTATCAACCATGCACTGTTTACCTGTCCATTCGCAACCATGGTTCGGCGACTATCGAATCTACCTCAATAATACCTTCGGTTTACCAATGATTTTGAAGGAAATTTATCAAGTTTAATGAGTTTTTCAAATCAATCAACCTGTGGCAGCCATAAAATCATGTTGTATTGGTTCCTTTGGCGAATTTGGAAAGCTAGGAACAACTTTGTCTTTAACAAAGGGCGAGAAAGTCCTTCCAAAACAGTCTTGAAAGTACAATCTGAAACAAAGCATTGGATTTCTGCAACTACCGGTCAAAGGAAAAGCGATATCACGACAACTCATCATACGCATACCCCTTCTCCCAGTCGTCCCTGGCAGGCTCCGCCTCTTCCGTTCTTAAAGTGTAATTTCGATGCAGGTTTTGATACTCATTCACATCAAGAGACAGCAGGCTGGATCATTAGAGATCATCAGGGAACACCAAAATCTTGGGGATCACTAAAACTTGGTTATTCAACTACTCCACTAGAAGCCGAAACGAAAGCCTTATTAGTAGCAATGCACCAATCCGGGATTCGTGGACATAAGTCCATTATCTTTGAAGGAGATTGTGAAACTCTTATCCAAACAGTCAACGATTCAAAGAAGATCGGTTCATTGACAAATCTTCTTAAGGACATCAAATTTTGGGAAAAGAAATTTCACACTATTCGGTTTGCTTTTGTCAAAAGGGATGGAAACATGTCAGCGCATTTTCTAGCAAAGTTTGGATCTGTATCCTCTGTTTTTTATTCAAATTCTGTACTTTCAGCCATCTTAGCTCCAAAACCAACTTTGTATTGACTCTTTAAATTTAATATAATCATGTTTTTGATGAAAAAAAAAAAAATATTTGGTTTATAACAACAAACCCCAAACGTGATTTGTCTTTGTTTTGTTGAAATAGGCTTTTGGGTTTTGCGTTCTAATGAATGAACAAATCATCAAATTTCGACTGTAGCCGTCAATAGCTTTTTGGAAGCTCAATTTGCGATTTCTCTCACCACACCTCGAGGTCTCGGCTCCTCTTCCGGATTGCTTGATCCTCGTCCATTCCCAAACACATAGTGTTTACCTAGACAATAAATCCTGGTGAGAAATTCCACCTCCTTCGAATTCTATGTTTCGCTTCAGTGGCACTATATATATATATATATATCACTTGATATGAGCAAGGATCTGCTGATTTTGATAAAATAGCAAAAACATTTTGTTGGTCCGAACCTTTTTTTTATTCGATGAAGACGACGAAGCTTTGATTCCGATAACTTCAGACTTCTAATTTTGGTTCTCAGTTCTTCGTGTGCTCCTGATTTATCTTCTAATTTTGTTTCCATTGCAGAAATCGAGCTTCCACAGGAAAAACTCATCACCCAAAATTTCTATGTTGTGGCTTTGTCAAAGAAAACTACTATGGAGGAGATTTATATAAGAACAAACTAATTCAGTTCCTTGGACGAACAACACCTATCATTCTCCAAAGCCAAAATGGACCTTGTCCTTTGTTGGCAATTTGTAGTTTACTAGCTACTGTCGAGGATTTAGGTCATCATGCTGGTTATTACAAACTCTTGAAATCTCGTGGCGCAAGGTCTTATATCTAACATTCGATTTTGTTTTATGATTTTGGTTGTCTTTTAATTTGAGAAGAAACAAGAATTTTAGTGTCAAGTAACGGACTGTAATTCGAAGCTTGTGTGATTGTATGAGTAAATTATATTGAAGAAATTGAGTTATTCATTGAAATTACTACTTTTTATGCTTAAATTTGGCTTCTTTAGCTTGTTTTGATATCGTTACTATGGAAATGATGTTAAGTTTGGAAGCGTGGCTTCAGGAGAGGATTTGGGTTTGTTTTATCTAAAGACAACTCTGTGTGCCTTACATTTTTTAGTGTAACTTCTGACATGTTGCTTGATTCAGGGATCGATTGATCTATATCGCTTTGTTTGGTGGGAATTAGATTTTTTTTTATGGATAGGGCCTATTAATATGAGTGGATGGTTGGACCTTACGATGCCAATATTAAGTAATAAAATCTTCTTCCTTGGAAGTGAGTAGTTGTAAGTTGCTGCATGGTTGAATTTAGATTTTTAGAGCTCTTTTTTGGGAATAGTTATAATGAGTTTTGGTTATTTTCTTTCGACTGTTCATTTGTTTGCATTGTAGTAATACTAATACATATATAGACCACTTATAAAAAAAATTTCCAAAGTGAAACTTATTTGAGTTTATTAGCAATCGGTCCCCCAACTTCATACGGATATGAGTATCAGATTTTAGAAAAACATTTGTACGATTATTCTCCTCCAAAGAACTTCAATGGTAACATACCATAGCAATGTTTAACCAAATCGCATCATATCTAATACTCTGGATCAAGCTATTGCACTAAGAATTGCTTCACAAACAAATCATACCAAAATCTAGGAAATGAGAATGAATCAGATAAAGATTCTCCAGTGGCTGAGAAATCGAAATCAGATAAAACAAATCTTTGATTTCGACCAGAACGAGAGAGCGGAGATGCAGAGAGGATGAAGAGGCGGAGATGCAGACTCACCGAAATCATCACCGTGGAGTCGAGAAAGTGAATGGTTCGCCTAGAGAACGGAGAAGACGAACTCCGAGCAGAGAAAGAGATAATAAAAAGAGTTATTGATCGGGAAGACGTTTGAGTAGATGTCCGGCGAAACGATCATTCGTGCAGCAGTTTGGTAATAGTAGACCATGAAAGAAAATTCGGTTTCCCAACACTTTGCTTTTCTTAATTATAGAACCGACCGTCTAAACCAACTAACCAAGAGACTTAAATTAAATTAAATCCAAGCTAGTACCGTGCTAACCGTTTTACGGATTGTGGGTTTGAGGAAAAGGTGCTTTGGATTATTACTGAGTCATGCCTTTTACTTTGACTTGATATTATAAATTTGGACTTGGGATTAGTTCATCAACCTAAATCCACCAATTACTTATATAAAATGCTACTAAGGGTCTGACTGGTTTAAACGCAGCGGTTGCGGTTGCGGTTACGGGAGTTTGCGGAAGCGGGCGGTTGCGGTTTCAAGCGTTACCAAGCGTTTTGAACGCTGGTTTAGCGTTTGAAAATGGATGCGTTTGCGGAAGTTTTATGACTGGTAAACCAGCGGGTGCGATAGCAGTTAAATAAAAAAAAGACTAAAAAAATAAAAAATATTACAAAAAAATAAAATAAAAACACCAATATATTATTATGATAATATTAGAAAAATTGAACATGCTTAATAATTAAAACCATAAATAAAGTACTAAATAATTATTCAAAAATAAAAAAATTTTATAATAAGATAGTACTTTATGCTGGGTCGTTAACACCAAAAATTGTATCAAGTAATGGGACAAACTGTAAATAACGTTGAATTCAATCAAAAAGCAAGTAATTTTCTATTCGAGAAAACAAATCGAAACATATATTCAATCAAAAAGAAAAGCAATATATAATGAAAGAAAAAAATATTCAAATTGATTTTCATCAGTTTGGGTGGAAGACATTGAGAAAATAAGGTTTTAGAATATTGATTAGGGTTTCTGATGAGAACGTGATACAAAGATGAAAGATATATATAAGATTAATATATTTTATAATAATTATAAGTAAACGTTTGATTTTTTTTTTTTTTTTTTTTTTTTTTTTTTTTAATCCAACCGCTACCGCCCGCAACCGCAAACGCTTGCGGGAAGGAGCTTTTGAAATTCAGCGATTTCGAGCGGTTTGAAGCGGTATGGAGCGGTTTCTATGATTGGTACCAACCGCTAACAACCGCAACCGACCGCTAGCAACCGCTAGAAGGGTGCTAGCGGGAGAACCAATCAAGCCCTAAAACAATTGTATTCATAGACATAGAAGATTAGAAATACCACTTTCGTTTCAATCATTATTGTTGAGGATTAATCTTAGGATTATACAATAGTTTTATGAAACAAAGTAATAAAATCATATTGATATGAAAATTCAGTTAATATTTGATGCATAAGGTACATATCAATTAAAAAAATTACATTAAAAAAATACCCGCCGCGTAGCGCGGGTTTCGCCCTAATATATACTATATAACAACACTTCATGTACATTTATTAGTGAAATAAAATGGTATATTTTACCCAAAAAAAAATGGTATAAAAATTGTTTTCAGCTAAGCGAACTATATCATATGCTACACATCACAACTAAAATAATTCATGCGTAAAATCTAAAACACGTCAAACTCTCTTTTTCCAAGTCTTCTTTTGTATTGAACCCTCTAGCTCAGCCAGAAGCTCTCCGTAACCCGATGCTTCAATTGAGCTAAACCAACTACAATATGGGAACGTATGTCAACATCATGTTTAATAGATACATCAACAAAAACATAATTATACCATATGATGAAATGACATATACTTAATTATTAATATGCAGCAAATGTTTTACAATATATTTAGGGGGTGTAATTGGTTTATTAATTTGTAAATCCATATAGAATTTGAAAATTTCTATTAATTATGAAATCAAGATATATGGATTTTGAAATAACATGTGTTTACCCATGGATTTGAATCCTTCTATTTTTCTCTTTCAATTCCATTCAAATCCATTTAAAACATAATTTGGATTCTCAAATCCAAAAACAAATGATTAAACGAATAACAAAGGATTTCAACTAGTATTTATAATTCATAGAACCAATAACACATGATTTTAATTAAGATTTTAAAATCAATGATCGAATAACAAATGATTTTTGTTTGGATTTCTAATTCTTTATAAATCCATGAACCAATAAGCCCTCCTTAGTATACAATTTCAGTTTCAGTGAATAAACAACAAAACAAACTCGTAAACTTTAGCTCTCAACTTGACAAAAAAAAAAAATATTCTCAACTAATATAGAAGGGAGATCATTTAAATCTAATAAGATGGTAAGAAAAAGAAAAAACCTATACTCATACACACTAATTGCTGGATCAATTACCTTTCTGCTACCAAAATATTAGAAAGCCCTATAGAGAGGGTCCACTAGAAAAGCCCAAAATCTGGAGAAAAAAGGGAATATTGCTGATTTGGGTATTATTTGGCCCAAAACTTTGAAAAATGGAACATCTATCAGACTTTCAAATTTGGGCATTTTTGGATCAGTGTAAAAAACAATTTTGCCCATGTCTCTATGTCTTCTCCTTCATTCTTTTCTGACGACAAACCACTCTTCCTCTCATGACCAACTTTCGATTCCTCTCCCAACCTCAACCCTCTTTTTCCTAGCCATAATTCTCCCTTCTCACCAACTTGATGCAGCGAGATATTTGGAATATATCTATTTCTATTATCTTTTAATTTATTGATTATAATTATTCTAGAATATTCAATAGATTTTAGGGTTTTATGCTTTTATTATAATTAGTCTTCTTATGCCTCCTATTGTATTCAGTTATTGATGAATTGATTAATCGAAAGATTTAAAGAGGTTTTGATAAACCACTGTGAAGAGTATTCACAACCCTAAGAGCTTTTGCGAAAGCTCTGAGAGGAGGACTCTCAAACCCTAGTTTCCGGGTATTCTCAGAATCAACGGATCTAGTTCTATCCATAGAAGCTTCCGCTTCATCCTTTGGTATCAGAGACAATGCTTTGATTTCTAAGTCAAGGCTCGATTCTGGATGTCATGTTGACCGAAAACATCTACCCTATCACTGGCGAAAGTCTGTTTTCTGAAGAAGAAGAAAACCATGAGATCTACAGAGAGATCTATGGTGATCCCATCTATGACATCTATGAAGATGATGTTATAGTTATTGATTTCGTTTTTCCAGAAGATGCGTTCGAGAATCTAACTCGTGCGAAATCTGAGTCGTGCAAAATCTGACTCGTGCAAACTTCGTGCAAAATCAGACTTATGCAAAATTCGGATTTTCTGCAGAAATCATGGAAGATATGATCTGTGCATTTTTCGGATCAAATCTGATGCGTGCAAATTATGGGTCAAATAAGATTCGTGCAAATTTCGGTTCAGTTCCAGTTCGTGTAAAAATCAGGCAGAATCAAAAGATGGAGATAAAGCTGAATCTTCGAAGATCTCCTATGCTGAAAACCCTATTGAAGATTCGAGGGCGAATATTTCTTGGCCGGAGAGAGCTGATTCAGCGTACGAACAAGATTCGAGGACGAATCTTTTTTTGGCAGGCGAGACCTGATGCAGCGAGATATTTGGAATATTTCCCTAGACTTTTTTTTTTTTTTTTTGGGCAAAAGAATATTTCCCAAAACTAATTATAATAAAAGCATAAAACCCTAAAATCTATAGAATATTCTAGAATAATTATATTCAACAAACCAAAAGATAACAGTAAGAGATATTTGGAAATATTCCAAATATTCCAAATATCTCTTTCTATTATCTTTTAATTTATTGATTATAATTATTCTTGAATATTCTATAGATTTTAGGGTTTTATGCTTTTATTATAATTAGTCTTCTTAGGCCTCCTATTGTATTCAGTTATTGATGAATTGATTAATCGAAAAATTTAAAGAGGTTTTGATAAACCACAGTGAAGAGTATTCACAAACCCTAAGAGCTTTTGCGAAAGCCCTGAGAGGAGGACTCTCAAACCCTAGTTTCCGGGTATTCTCAGAATCAACGGATCTAGTTCTATCCCTACAAGCTTCCGCTTCATCACAACTCCACCGCCAAACACCATCTCCCATCCGCCACCAACTCCATCTCCGACCTAAAACACAAAATTTCTCCGCCGCTAACGCCATCTCCGAAAACCACAATGGATTCAATTAGTTTCGTT